AGATAAACATAGCCTCGTTTCAACCTGAAACCCATTTCCATATACGGCATATGTTCAACAACATATCTAGCAGTTGATTCGCTATGAGGACAAATACACTGACAAATGCATCGCGGTCCAAAAAGACAGAACTATATGCTACAGCAAAGATGTCTAGATAAATAGATACAACAGAGATGGTGCCATGAACGTCAGAAACCGACACCACGCGTACTATCGGATGCCTGTTTCATAATGATGAAGGTCTTCAGCACCACAGCGGCCTTTACACTCACCAGAGCAAGCAAGATCATGTACATCAAGGCCTAATCACTTCCGCTTCCCTCCACTTGCAGTCGCAGTCGCAGCCGCAGATCTCGGTGAGAACGGCGTACTTCCAGGATTCAATTCCGACTTCGTCGTATTCGACCCCGTTTGTCCGTGTGAAGACTGGCTAGATCGCCTTCCAACGCCTGCTCCCGTTGGAGGCTCGAAAGCCTGGGCACGCCCAGAAAGTCCCTGGCCAGCAACGCCTTGGTTCTTGTGCGAAGCGGCGTGCAACGATTGACTCGGGTTCAGGTGGATGACACCGGGACCCGCTGGTAGTGACAGTCGAGGGTTGTGCGAAGGCCGTTGAATAGGCTGAGGGGGCTGTTTCCCGTGATGTGCAGGGTGCGAGTGTCGTTTCCGAGGATGATGTGGTTGATGATTATGTTGACCGTGGTTACTGTTTCCCGAATAAGACTGGTTCTTTCCTCCATGACCATGCCCATGTGGGTGGTGGTGGAAATGGTTCGAACCATGCTGGCTCGACTGCGGATCGCTCGAGGGCGAATCTCGTGACCGACTCTGACTGCGACTCCTTTGGCTCGGGCTTGGGATCACCTCGCCAGGATCGTCAGGTCCAAGTTCGTCTTCATATCCGAACGGGTCGTTCTCCACTTTCGTGCGCTCTTCTTCCAGCTTCCGAAGTTTTTCCTCCAACTCTTGAATCACGCCTCCTTCACCCTCCAACTTTTCCTTCCTCGAGGTTAACCTGTCCATACGGTTTCCCAGGCCGGCAAGTTCAGCCTGTAATCCTTCCGTCCTCCTCTTCTCCTGAGCCTCTACTTCAGCTCGTTTCGCCTTCACGTGACGCGCCTGCTGAGTTACCCTCTCCCATTCTTTCTCCACTTCCATCCGCCGTTTCTCAAGTTCAGGAAGCATGCTCTCCACATCCTTGATCATAGCTCTGATTTCGTCTGTGGTCGCCACAGTTCTCCGCACTGCTTCTTGCAGCGCAAGCACTTTCTGACGGGCACGCGTTTCTTGTTGGGAGTGCTTGTCCGACGCCCGTTTCAGTGTGTCGATTTCTGAGCGAAGCGCTGCGTCTGCCTTCTGAGCTTCCCGCCTAGCAGTCTTTAATGAGGCGGTTAGGGTCGCATGCTCGTTATTCAGAAGATTGAGGGTATGAGTAAGTTGTACCCGGCGATCTTCTAGCGAGAATGAGGGAGTGGGTGTGACCGACTGAAGAGCAGGCGTCTGGGAGTTGGAAGATGTGGAAGGAGGAGTGCTGCTGGCGTAAGCATGATGCGAAGAGTTCAGCGATGAATTTGACCCTGAACGAGCTACTACTTCTGGGGAGGGTACGTCCACCATAGATGCATCCGGTTTGATATCAGAATCAACTCGTGCTGGGTCCGAGTCTATATATACATATGAGTGAATTTAGAGACTGATCCTGTCTTTTTCTCGGTGAAGAATTGCGACGCACCTGTTGTAATCTGTCCTCGAAGCGCCGCCTCACCAGGAACGACACCAAGTTCAATGTCATACTGCCTAGAGGGCATGAGACCGAAGAGAATAATAACGGCTTCATCAGCCTCGTCATCGATCTTCATCAGTACCCTTTGCCATGGAGTGCCGTTGACCTTTACGCTCAGGCCTTTCGACAATGCTTCTGAAATAATTTGTGAATGAGTCTCCACAGAAGGCCCATTCGCGAAGATATCCTCGCTTCGCTCAGTCTCGTTGTTGTCTGGTACAGCTGATATCGTCGGATCCAGCGTCGCGAGACTATGGGCGGAAAGGGGGGACGAGAGGATGAATGTGGCGGATACCGAAGTGATTTCTCGGACGGATAGGGATAGCGTAGGCCTCCATGGCCTGATTGAGTGCCACTGAGAGGAAACGTTGTTCATGCTCGTAAAAACAAGGACGTAGCAAAGCCCATCGACATCAGACGACAGCCGTACAAGTCGAAAAGAGATCAAGCCTTCGAGTTCAAGGTGGCTGCATGCGGCAAGGCTGGAAGGGATGCTCAGCGGCAAATTATTGCGACTCCGAGGACTCGGCAGTCAATACCATCCACGTGAGCAATCCTCCCGAACCGGAGACTTGTCACTTAAAAAAGCCTAAAGTAATGAGACTTGGAGGGGTTGTAGGGAGTTGTGTATTAAATGTGGAATGACCCTGACACTATTGACAGACACCATTGACACTGAATCCTTATGAGTATTAACTACGGTGCAATAAAAAAGGGGGCTTAAAGGCGAGGCTACCCTGTAGCCACCACCAAAAACATGCAGATTGACGAGAGTGGGATTCGAACCCACGCCCTTTCGGACCAGATACCGACGTATCCAAGTAAAGACACACCTTAGTCTGGCGCCTTAGACCACTCGGCCATCTCGCCGTGTAGATCCTTGGCTTTATAACACATCATATCGGGCGTGTACGCAACAGTAGTGGCATTTCGTGAACCCTGAAGGAATTAATAGCCTGAGTGCAAGTGACTAACGTTGAAACGTTGACTAGTTCACTAACACCGACGGACAGAAGAAGAATATAGCCTTGTGCTTGGTACGTGATGTACAGTAGGCTCCGAGTCGTCCCTCGGATGTCTGTCTGGTATACGGCTCAATCTGGCCTCAACGATGAACTTCAAGCTGGAGACTCGTCTGCCATCAGTCCTCAGGAGGTTTCAGGGCACTATGCGATAAGTCGTAGGTGCAAGCCTGCATGAATGGATATGACGTCGGCACGGTACTACTATACAGGCTCACCGGGTAGTACTGATATCTCATGCGACAGACTCGGGCTCTTGTGCAGCTTAGAGAGCCCAGAATTCACTCACCTTGGTATGTGATAAGTTCACCTCGTCGAGTGCGCACTTGTAGCTTACACCAATGGTAGAAGAAACTCATCCTTCCGGGGGCTAAGATGATGCGATCGATACATGTCCAACATCGCTGATGTCCATTTCTCATGCCACCTCAAAACTGAGAGGCGTGGAATGTATGCACTTCGGGGGGAATAAGTGTGCAAGCAGTCGTTCATACGTTGAGACCAACGTATGTGTGCAAGGATGGTGAACAAGATGTACTCATAATCTACTGACTTTCCGTCGCGTGGACTGTGATATCATCATTGCAGCAACAAAAAGTCCTGGTTCTACAGCTAGATTCATAATGATAGGCGGGTCATAGAAAACCTGGACAGTCAGGCTTTTGCGGAGTATGACGGCAAACAGATCCGCAACTGCTGCTGTAGCGTCGCAGCAATCATCGCAGTACCTTCGGCCTTGCTCCCGAGTCTCTACTGGCACTCTGAGATCTGTTGTCGACCTCCGACGGCTGTACTGGTTTCTTTGCACCCGCCTATCGATATGAAGTTATCTGTAAAGCCTGTTGTTTTCCATATCCATACGCGTCGTCGAGGTTTACCGGTTCTTACTTCTTGTCGACCACGTTGCAACTTAATTGACATCAGTGACTGCTTTGAGTCAGCGTCGCAGCAACAGTCGCAGCACACTTGGATTTCCTGCGTCTCGGCTTGCGAACTGCCAAGTTTTATCGACTTCTCTTCGACCTCCGCGGTGTGTAGTGGTTGCTTTGGACTCGCCTGTCGGTATGAATCCAGTCGACATCTGTGGTTATCTTTTGAGAAGATTGCCACCTTCTCGACCCTGGATGTGTGTCACAGGATTAGGTTCGCCGTGCTGCAAACACGAGTAGGTATGGTATATAAGAGAAACATCGGCCTCTGTGATGCCCATCCACCTCTCGACATCTCCTCTGTTCGTCCTACAGAAGACTTTCTCCAACATGCCCAAAGGCTCTACCAAGGAAAAGCAGAAAGGGAAGCTGAAGAAGGAGCAACCCACCGATGAGTATATCCAACAACTGGAAAAAAAGACTATTCTGGATGCTGCTTATAATCGCCTGCTATCTGGAGAGAACATGATTGATACAAAACTCTATGCATACTCCAGGCGAATGAAGGAGGGCGGGGTTGACAAGCCACTGGCAATATATGCATGTAGTGGCATTCTCCGTCATTCATCTTCATATTTCGATACCTGTAAGCACATCTCTTTCCACTTCGCTCATTTGCTAATCATGGTACAGTGCTAGTCGGAGGATTCAAGGAAGATACTGTCAAAGACCTGGACACTCCTATACAGGACGAACAGGGTGATATGGAGTCCTATGGTTACGAATCGGATAGTGATCTTGAATGCGAAGATGACGATAAGTTGGCCTCGGAAGAAACAATGCAAGGTACTACCTTGAAGACGTCAGTTCCTGCGAATGTCAAGGAAGGACGACCTGAATCTCGAGAGGTACTTAATTCCGCTGTAATGTATGCTGTAATGCGATTAGCTGACATATGGCTGACCTACAGAGTGACATTGTCGACACTCGTACAAGTGTGTCGATCCTGAAGCCTAAGCTATATGGGCGTATTGTCAAGATCCCACATATCGCATTTACAACGTACGTACGGTTTACACGAGAGCTGTAGGAACCCATCTGTCGTTCTGATGAATCTGATGTAATTGCAGCTTGCGCGCGTTGATATACTATCTCGGTACTGGGAGGATTGCCTTTGCGCCGTTGAAAGCGTTGAACGCTCCACGCCCTTCATACTCTTACTCTTCTGCTGCATTGTCGCACGAACCCCTCCCATGCTCTCCTAAATCAATGTATCGGGTCGCCGATATGGTCAGTCCAAGTTTTGATTGCAAGCTGACACGAGTCTGTGCTCATAGAGTCATCATTCCTTCTAGCTGCAGCTGTCAGAGTTGAAGACCCTTGCGAGGGACAACATTCGGACACAGTTGACCCCTGGTATAATTCTCAGAGAGCTTCTCTCAAACTTCACCTCTAGGTACCGCATAAGTATTGTCTTGGCAATCTCAATACTTAGGCTCATTGAACTTCTCAGGTTTGACGAAATCTCACAACTCGAACTGAAGTACTTCTTGGAAGAAATCGAATTTTCCCTCTTTGCCGACGAAATTCCTCAATGGACTGACCGTCTTGTGGACAGCCTTGAGGACACGGCACCTTGCCGGACGACCGTGCATGCTTTGATCCAGCGACTGTTGACTTCCCATCATTCTCAGATGAAGATTCTTCGCTGTGAGCATCCGTCTGAGGCACGAGAAAGTACAGGACGTCGTGAAGAAAGACAAATAGTCCGAAATGACGGTTGGGGAAGTACAACGTTGACCAAAGAAGACTTGTTCCGTTGCAAACAATGTAACCAATTATTGTGACCTCGTCTTCAAGTACAATCATACCACTGGTACTATCACCCTGGTATCATCCTGTTTAGTAGAACCTGTTTGTCTCGCAACTTCAAGTTTATGTAAAGAGAGTCGCGTCTGATGTGACGACCAGTCGGAATCATCCGAATGATATTGGTATGACAGTGTGCATGCATATGAAGCATTGCCAACAGAAGCGCAGAATATAATCACAATTTTCTGAACGTATTCTTGCTCCCACTGCGCATACCCTGTCGCCTATGTGTTCGGCCTTTCCTCTCACTTTCACTCATTTCCCGACCAGGATCCACTTCACCACCCTTCTCCATACCAGCACCAAACGTCTCCACCCCTTTCCGCCTCTCTTGACCTTTCTTTTTAGCTTTGGGGGCACTTCTCTCTTCGTCCGAATCCTCCATGGAGGCGTTCGATGTGGGCACGAAGCTAATCTCCATGCCACCGTCACCGGTCGGCCGAGCGGAGACACCATTGGGTCTGCCTTTACCCGTATCCTTGCCTGTGAAGACGGACCTACGTTGACCGAAGGTGGCGTTCCTGTCCGCGCCCGATGCGCTACGATCGCCAGCCTTCGCGTTGAGAGGGACCAGACGAACGTTAGGAGTTCGCTGTACTGGTTGCGATCGAGATTTGGCTCTAAATCCACTGTCACGAGCCGCCAGACGCGCCCGAATGTCGTCTGTCCAGAGTTCTGAAGCGAAGGCAAGGAGTTAGTGTCTAAGTTCAAGGGTTGGCAATCAATTTGAACTTACCACCTGCGGCATCGCTGTCTTCGCTCTCACTTCCGCTCTGCTCGCTTTCACTTTTGCTGGTGCTACTACCAAAGCCGTCCGTCGACGACTTATCGCTTTCCTCTTCCTCCTCCTCCACGGCGGTTTTGCTCCTAACCTTGCCAGTAACACCGGCGTTCTGCCTCTGAGCGACAGACGAAGGATTGAGCAGTGCGAATTCCCGGCTGTTCTCGTCAACCTCAAACTCGGGGTTCTCGAAGAGAGCCTTGAACCGAGGATCGCTGAGCAACGACGATTCTGTCTTCTTCTTCTTCTCGCCGGCACCACCTTCCTCATCGACGTCCATGTGGTCGTCGCCCTCTTTTTCAGTTTGCACCGCAGCAAGAGCCCCCGCAACCTTTTTCGCCTCTCTCTTCTTCGCCCTTTCTTCCTCCTTCTTAATCTTCTCTGCCAATGCCTTGTTAACCTTGACGTTCGCATCCTTCTTGGACCGGATACGCGTCTCTGCCATTTTCTCCATCTTCTCTTGGATCTTTCTCTCGCGATGCTCCGCATATGCGTATGGGTTCGCGATGAGGCGAGCGGTATCGTAGAGTTGAAGGGAAAGGAAGTATCCATGCATGTAAGGTTTGAGCGCGGGAGTACCAATGAGGTGATCCAGACCAAGGCTATTGAATTCTACGTCAGATTTCTGCACCCTAGAGAGTCTACAACGTCTATGCGTACCTTGCCAGTTCGCTTCTTTCGACAAACTTGTAATCCTGGTAGACTGTTCTGGTGGTTTGGTCTTCCATTTCCTCAGTGAGATTCTCAAGGAAGCTGCACCACCGAGGAGCGGGACCAAGTTGGGGAATGTAGTACGTCGTCATCTGGATTGCCTCGTTGGCCAGCATAAGCAGTCCGCTACCAGGGACGTGATGGACGTCGTTGATATCCGAGGCAGGCGTAATGGAAGTGAAGTTCGTCGACGGCTAGGATAGCAGGTTAGAGCTCCTGGAACGCCAAAATGAAGACTAATTAGTAAACGTACCGAATGTCGATCCCAAATCTTAATAACCTTCTTATCCGCGCTGAGAACTAGACCATCACCGGCCATCCGACTGCCACCTTCTATCCAGCATACGTTCTTTACTGGTAAGCCATAACCTTGATCCTTCATAGCAAAGGGTTTCGCAGAACGGATATCGTAGAGCAGCGTGTGTCCGGTCGACGTTCCAATCGCATACGACAGTCCATCTGGTCTTGAGGATATAGCAGTAACAGATATAGGCGGAGGATGATTACCATCATCGATCCCAGGTAGCAGAGAGCTTTTGGCATTGGCTGGGAGTAATCTGTCTCTTGGTAATCGGAGTAAGCCTACTCGGGTTCGCGACCGAGGGTCCCATAGCT